ATGGCAAGGACACAGAGTGTGCAATGGCAAGGACACAGAGTGTGCAAAGGCAAGGACACAGAGTGTGCAATGGCAAGGACACAGAGTGTGCAAAGGCAGGTACACAAAGAGTGTGCAAAGGCAGGGACACAGAGTGTGCAATGACAGGGACACAGAGTGTGCAAAGGCAGGGACATAGAGTGTGCAATAGCAGGGACACAGAGTGTGCAAAGGCAGGGACACAGAGTGTGCAATAGCAGGGACACAGAGTGTGCAATGACAGGGACACAGAGTGTGCAATAGCAGGGACACAGAGTGTGCAATGACAGGGACACAGAGTGTGCAAAGGCAGGGACACAGAGTGTGCAAAGGCAGGTACACAAAGAGTGTGCAAAGGCAGGGACACAGAGTGTGCAATGACAGGGACACAGAGTGTGCAATGACAGGGACACAGAGTGTGCAATGGTAAGGACACAGAGTGTGCAATGACAGGGACACAGAGTGTGCAAAGGCAGAGACACAGAGTGTGCAATGGCAGGGACACAGAGTGTGCAATAGTAGGGACACAGAGTGTGCAAAGGCCCTGAGAACCCTCAGTTCACACAGAGCAATAAGGAGGCCATGGAGGGGTTGGTGGTGCCCACAACCACCAGGGAAGGGGGTGCTGAAGGCCAGAGTCTGGTGGCAACTGTGAAAGTGGGGGCACAGATGAATCCTGGATGAATCTGAAGGGTCTCGAGTTGCAAGCATCAGACACAGGGCAAGTGAGAATGGGGGCCATTAACCACGAGGGAGACATGGAGGTTGGGAACTGCCTCCAGGCCACCCCAGTGGTGAGAAGGACTGGGTCTGGGTGGAGGGAAACACTAGGAACTCGCCTGTTTGGATGAGAATAAAAACTACACCCCTGCTCAGTCTAGCGGCTAGCACCAGTCCACGTCACCATGTGACTCCACTGCACCCAGTGTTGGTCCCTGAAGCCAGCACAGCAGATCCCTTTTGCAAAGCCTGGGGACAGCCCCCAGGGCCACCCAGCAGCAGCAGACATTGAGAAGGCACAGGGGTCTTGGACTCACCTCCCAGGAGTCACTCCTTATTCTTCCGACATTTACAGAGTGCCTGCTGTGTGCAGGTACCGCAGTCAGCCCAGGGGACATTGCAGGGAACAGAGCCAATGAAAGACCAGGCAGCCAGCAAGCAGGTGAGCCACAAAGGAGCGGAAGGGGGTGGCCGTCAGTCACCGGTACAGACAGGGCAGGTGGCAGAGAAGACGCAGGGTGAGGGACTCCTTCACATTGTCATCGCCCTTGAAGGCCATGACAGCTCTACCTCAGCCTCTTCACCAGGTTTCATCTGATCTCCTGGCTGGGTCTAGGGCCCCTCAAGCTTATCACACAGAGTCTGCCACAATCTCAGGAGATGGGGTGCTACCGTCCCCCAGACAAGGGCAGAGAGGCCCAGAGAGGTGAGGTGAACAGCCAATGGTCACACAGCCAGGAAGGTGCAGTCAGGAATTGGGTGGGAGAAGAAGGGTGACCAGTGCCAGGTGGGTGACCCGAAGCCACTCCTGGAAGGCACCAGGCAGGCACCAGGCAGGGCTTGGATGGGGTCAGCTGGACAGAGCTGGGTGGAGAGCCAGCTGGGACCAAAGCCTTAGCAGCCACAGGTTATGGCCCTTGGGCCCCAGATAGGGTGACAGCCACACCCAGGCTCAGAACTGGCCACACCGCCTACTGGAACATGAAATACTCAGACCAGAGGCTCAAAATAGAATGCATCAAGCCTGGGGGTGCCTGGGCTAAGGGAAGGGCCAAGTCAAGTCCTGCCAGCCTGGGGCTATGGGCTAGAGGGTCTGGGGTACCCTGAATCAGAACTGGGTCTCCCCGGTGCCATTCTCCTGACAAGACTCCCAAGATGTCAGCGCCTTTCATGATGAAACCAGCTCCACAGACAGTTGTGTGGCCTCTGGTACAACCTCTATGAGACTCAAGAGTCAGTATCTGCCATGGTCTTATCCAGTCGCTCAGTCATCTTACAAGCCTGGCTGGGAGCTGACTATGAACCTGGACTCATTAGAGAGCAAAACAGACCCCAAACTGTGCCCTGGCAGAGAGGTCAAGCCTACAGGGAGGGTACCCAGGGATCCTGAGCACCTGTGATGGAGGGGACCAACCAGGGAGCAGAACACAGAGCAACACAGCAGAAGACAGCGACAAACGGGTTCAGGGCAAGTTGCACCCACAGAGACCAAGACAAGGAGGAGAGCGTGCACCTGAGGGAAGACTGTTCTGTGTGACTGAAACAGCCATGACTGGAAGTTTTGAAGGAGACTAGAAGGGGATGCGCAGGGATAGCAGCAGAGGGCCAAGGAAAGTTCTAGAGCCATGGTTCAGGGATCTCCTAAGACCATTGGGAAACACAGATATTTACATTCCAATTCATAACAGCAGCAAAATTACGATTATGAAATAGCAACGAAAATAATGTTATGGTTGGCGGTCACCACAGCATGAGGAACTGTATTAAAGGGTCGCAGCACTAGGGAGGTTGAGAACCACTGGCTCATGGCAAGGGTGTCTGTGGGTTGGCAGGGCTCCCTCCCACCCTCAGCTTCCTGGAACTCACAGGAGATCAAGTTAGTAGTCCAGACTGGAACCCACAACCTCCACCCGAGCCAAGAAGCCCTTCTGGGAAAGTTGCTACAGATATTAGGAAACCATGAGGAATGTAAGCCTCCCGCTGGGATGAACAGCGCCCAAGGACTCAGGGGGCCAGCACCAGACCACTGCCCTAGCCACATGTGGAATTGCTCAGCCCGTTGGCCAGGGTAAATGGTGTTCCCAATTTGGAGGAGTGGGGCCTTCCCGTGCCCCACCGCAGTCCACGCTCACGCTCTCTTTACGGAGCAGCTACTGTGTGTGCATTGCCAGCACCTCCCCAGGGCCACAGGTACCACATAGTCCCACACACACATTGCACAAGAGGAGGTTGACTTGTCCCATAGCACATACACCAGAGGAGGGGAGAATGAGCCTGCAAGAGCAGCAGAGAGTGGGCAGACAGCGTGCAGGACTGGCTCAGGGAGAAGCAGGCATTCCCTCATTCCCATTACTTACAGGGCAACTGGGCCTGTGCTGGGAGGTGGGTGTGTAGCCTAGAGCAAAACAGCTGGATCCCCCACCTGTGCCACAGCTGCATTCCAGAGGAGGGAGGTGGAGGAGAAACTGGATAAACAAGAGGATAATTTCTAGAAAGTTCTAGGTAGGAAGAAAGAGGGGTTGGCCAGGGAGGGCCTCTGTGAACTGGGGCCTGGAACAGAGAAGACTGTGGATCGAGCTGGGGGAGCGGCACGTGCAAAGGTCCTGGGGCAGCAGAGTGGGGTGTTGCAGGGGTGAGGCTAGTGTGGTTGTGAGAGGAAAGAAAGGTGCAAGAGGGGCTGGGGGCTGAGCTGGGGTGCACAGCTCTGAAGTCGTTCTGCTGAGAGAGTTGGAGCCCTGGAGGGTTCTGTGGAAAGCCTGTCCTGGAAGAGCAAGAGCAAAGGCAGAAGGACCTGCTGCAGACAGCAGTGGTGGACAGTGTGGACCGAGAGACCCAGGTACTTGGTTGAGCCCAGCGGTGGAGTCTGTGGGGAGAAGAAACAGAAACCCAGGTGTGAGGTCCCAGACCCCACTATGGCAGGCTGACTCTGTCCCCAGGCGCCTCTGGGAACAGGTCTCAGATGAGGAAGTAGGGTCCTTGCCAAGTACCCCACTTTTGTCAGGTGGGGTCCCTCATTCTATGCCCAAGCCCTCAGGCAGAAGTGTTTAGGATAGTGGCAAACACTGCCCGTTGGGCACCCCACCATCCCTGGCTCCTTGGTTTCTAGGGTGCCCTCTGTCTCTCTTCTCCACACTGCTATGGACCCTCTGACCCAGAAACCCAAATACCAGCTGGAAATGGAGCAGAAGGGGAAACTGAGGCCTTGAGAGGACACTGTGCCCCGTGATGGCCCCAGAAAGCAGTGAGTCTTCCCTCTGACTTTTCTGATGTCTAGGACAGTGTTCACCCCGGAACACATGAGCCTTCGGGGCACAGCACAACCATGATTGGTCCAGCCTTGGGCAGATTGCTCTACCCCTGGGGCCTCAGTTTTCTCATCTGAGAAAAGGGGTCGTGTTGAATGATGCTTCACAAGGCATTTGCAGAGTTGGGACTCTAGGGTCTGTGGTGAGGTTTGACCTGGAACCCAGGAGCCCTTCATTCACTCCATCCACACGGCCACTGTGTGGTTAAGGCTCCCTTGTGGCTGCCTAGCCTTAGACTTCATCTGGGACAGTCTGTGGCAGGGAAGACCCCCCAGACTCTTGCTCAAGGCTGCCTAAACCTCAGTGCCATAGAGGAGTGAAAGAAGGGGGAGGTGGCCAAGGACAGGCCTGTGAGATAACTCCAAGCCTTGACTGTACCCATCCTCCAAGGCCACTGCCTGTTCCACAAAGGGAATGCCACATCTTGCACAACACAGGAAATGGGGCCTGGACCCCATGTCTACCCAGCAGCAGACAGGACAGTCAAGGGAGGCCCCCACCAGGCTTCCTGTGTGCTGAGCACATTGGACAGAAAGAAAGCAGAAGTGGGTCTTGAGGTCACAGGGCAATCCTGGCAGCACCTTCCCCTCCCTAGTCAACTGTTCCAACTGCCTGTCCTTGACGCAGGGGTCCTGGGTTCAAATACCAGGTCTGCCGCTTACCAGCGGCATGATTCTAAATGCCACAGCTCACACACACACTATGGCCACAGTCTTCATTTCAAAGCCTCAGATAATTGTTACCTGTTATGCTTGAAGTTGTTAAAGTACCTTAGGAGAGGGTAAACTGAGGCCCTACTGGATGAATAGACATGAACAGGAGACCCTTGAGATTCCATCCTTGCTCACAGGCCCACATCAGGCATTACTAATCAATGAGGATCCAATTTCCCAGGAGTCTTGATGCAGAATCAGCAAGGCTTAGCACCACACTCCAGCTGCTACCAGCAGGGACAGCATAGCATCTGTAAACCGGTGCATCTGCTCGCTCCAGTGGCGACAGAGTGGATGGAGAAGGACACCGGGCCTCGAGACCCTGGTACAGGCAGCCGGTCGACCCCTTCCTGCCATCACATCTCCCTGGGACCAGGATCCTCAGGGTCCCTTCCTCCGGGCAGACGTGGTTCAGTGGCCACAGTGAACCCGGGGTGGGGAGGCAGCAGCTGCTCCAGGGACAGCTCCAGGGCTGACTCTAGAGATGCTGCAGGCTCCTTGGCAGTGCCAGGGAAAGTCTGCTGACCCACAGCCTGCGGCCAGTGGTGCGAGAGGAAAGCAGAAAGGAAGACAGAGCGTGGCCCCTCGCCAGCTCTGGCCCTGTGCCCTGTGGTGATGGCTGTCTCCCGAGTCCAAGCCTCCGTCGTCGCCCGCCTGGACATCTATGCTTATCTCCAGGCTGTCTCCCTGCTGTCCCTCGTCCCCACACACTGCCAGGAGGCCATGGTCACAAACTCCTGTAACTACCTCCTCCGACTCTCCCCAAGTCTAAGTGTCCCTTCCATGTCCACCGGCTCTCTGCACTGCTCCCTTACTGATCCCTCTCCCTGCAGCACACTGCTTCCTCAGAGTCTCTCCTGAGACACTGCCCGCCACCCTCCCCGTGACCCTCCACGTCTGAAGTTATCATGGTGTGTTGTGTTGTGGGCCCACCGCAGAGCACGGTGTTCAGGGGGTGTGGAACAACAGTCCTTAGAAACCGTGACTCCATGTTCCCAAGCCACCCTGAGGAGGGGACTCGGGATGTTCCAGCAGGTGGTGGTGCCAGGTAAAGAAATGCTGTGCACACACACACACACACACACACACACACACACACGAAGCTTCTATTTGTCTTATTTTTGACTTTTAAATCACAATTTTATTTATTAGACGGAGGGCATATGCACACCACAGCAGGTATGTGGAGCCCAGAGGACAACTTGCAAGAATTGCTTCTCTCCTCCTACTATGTGGGTCCTGGGGATTGAACTCAGGTCCTGAGGCTTGGCAGTCAGCACCTTCCATCCACTGAGCCTTCTTGAGAACTTTGGATTGGGATAGTTATTTTAAAAAGATCTCAGCCTGGCTGACCTCAAGCTCATAATCCTCCTGCCTCAGTCTTTCCAGTGTTGGGATTACAGGCCCGTGCCACGACACCTGGCCAGACACAATTTATTTTATTTTATTGCTTTATTTTGAGACAGAATCTGACAAGATAGCCAAGACTGGCTAAGTTCCAGACACAGCTGTGCCAAACCAATTAGAATTTGACCAGATCCAGGTGTGACTAAAAATATATGTAATAATTGTTATTTTATTATATATTATTATTTTATATAATTTATATATAGTATATACTATATATACACACACACATATATATACGACAAGGTCAACCGACCTTGTCAGATGGAGAAACTGAGTCTGGGATCTTCCCAGGGCCCCGCCCATTTCCTCCCACCCAGAGAAAAAGGGAAGGCGGCAGTGGTCAGCCGGGAAGAGTCTGGGCTGGGGGTGGACAGGGTGGGGATGGATAGAGGCCCTGTTTCCATTTAACCGCAGCCCTGGGACTGTCCCAAAAGGGAAGCAAAAGCTGCTTGTCCTCATGTCCTGAGCTCCGAGGGGAGGGCGGGGGTACCTGGGGTCTGGGGAGGCTGCTGTCACAGGGCCTCCTATCTGCTCTTCCTCTGCTGCGTCCACCACAGAGCTCTTGCTATGCCGAGGGCCCTTGTTCCCTCCTTCCCATCCGTCTAGCTCTGCTCACCCATCTGCTCTCAGCTCAGTCCCTTCCTGGCCTCCCTAAACTCCCAGCCTCCTCCCCATCCCTGTGCACCTGTCCTCCTGAACTGACACCCCTCCCCCGGGGCAGGAACCGTCAGCTGACCAGACTAGGTCGTGAATGCTGAGGGAGGGAGGGAGGGAGGGAGGGAGGGAGAGAGAGGAGGAGGAATAGAATGTACAGGTCACCCCACCTTGCCCCATAGCCCGTTCTGGTCTTCATCTCTGCCCTGCCACCCTGGTGGGTGCCCTGCCCCTACAAGGTCACCTCTGTCACTCACTCCTGGCTTCAAATGCCTCCCCCCTCACCTAATCATGTCTGGATGGAGATAGAAGGACAGGCTCCAGTCAGGGTATCTAGGAGTTTCCAGGCGCTGTTGCCTTTGCAGATTCAGGATTCCCCTCCAGCCCACTTGGGACACTCCACCACCCTCAGACAGTGCCCTGATCCCCTGACCCACACATTTGCATTCTGGCACAAAGCAACACCCAGATTTCTAGGAGCTCACTCAGGGTATGCTGGGCCAGGAGCCCACAGGAGCCAACACCTAGATCCTCAGGTCCCAGCACACCAGTGGTCTTCAGATTTCTTAGCTGGATGCTTTTATTCTCCTGGAAAGAAAAAGGAAAAGAAAAGAAAAAAAAAAAACCTTCACCAATCTCAACTTTGGGGAGTTTTCCTTTTTGGCAGGTTATATCTGATCAAATGAAAGTCATTTGCTAGTCTTACTAGTTAGTTTAGATTGAATAGCCATGCTGTTTGATGAACTATCACCTCTCCTAGTCAAGAGGCCCCTCTGTTCAAATTTAATCTATATCAATCTTTATGGTATCCACAGCTCTTGTCCCGTAGAAACAAAAGCAAAACCTTTTCCCCAACGTAACACATATCCTAGTTTCCATTATAAGGGGAACACATTTTTTTGTTTTGTTTTGAGACAGGGTTTTTTTGTTGTTGTTGTTTAGCACTGGCAGTCCTGGGACTCGATTTGTAGACCAAGCTAGCCTCAAACTCACAGAGATCTGCCTCTGCCTCCCAAGTGCTGGGGTTAAAGGCATGTGCCACCACGCCGGGCTCATCACATTCTTAAAGTATTTAATTCAGCAGTACTCTCTATCATTCAATGTCTCTCTGCAGCTGTCATTTCTTTCTCATTAGCATTTAAAACATCTAAAGTTAATAAGGCACTCTGTAATCTCTCTCTGAGGTCTTATTACCTTTTTCTGTTTATTAAGCATATCTTTGAAAGTGCAATTAGATCTTGTCCTGTAAGATTATATGATATACCTCTAATATACTGTAAGTTGTAATATGCAAAAATTGTTTCATTTTACTAGAGGCATATGCTGAAGTCTTGTGAGTCTTAATTTGTACATGTATTCCCATAATTGCTGTAACTTCTAAGAAATGTGTAATTATAGAGTCAGCCTTTTCAGATCTCAAAGCAGTTGCCCCTTGAATTCCTGAATATATCTTTGCTGTGATACACGTACTTTAACTTTCCAATCTCTACAAAAGGAAACACGTCCACTTGCCAAATTTCATTTCTTTGAGTACTTTTTGAGTTACTTCCTGCAGGTAGTAGAATTTGGTTATACAAAGATTAAGTAGGATATTTTCTTATAATTTCCTTGGCATGTTGCCAAGTGGTAGAAAACTCTTTCTTCAAACCTTTGCTATGAGAATGGTGTTTTTCTTTCGTTGTTGTTGCTGTTTTGGTTTTTTGGTTTTATTGTTTTTCGAGGCAGGGTTTCTCTGTAACTTTGGATCCTGTCCTGGAACTTGCTTTTGTAGACCAGGCTGGCCTCAAACTCACAGAGATCCACCTGCCTCTGATTTCCAAGTACTGGGATTAAAGGTGTGCACCACCACCGCCCAGCTAGCATGGTGTTTTTTATGAAATTTTGAGACTTCTAGCACATTTTCTATCAATAATTGATCATTTTATCATTACCTTGTGCTAGAAGGACCTGGTAGACCCATATGGGATCTGATATGTGTTATATACAATGGATGATTTCTATTTCTGATTATTTGTTGCAATTGAATAAGTCACAAAGTTAATTCTGAATCATCTGGATTAAGTTCAGAGGTTTCAATATGTAAAACAACTCTTTCTACATATTGAGAGTCAGTAACTATATTAAGAGGTTCTGCAAAATCCAATAATACCATGAGAATAGCATATAATTCTGATTTCTGAACTGAGTCATAAGGGCTTTGAATCACTTTACTTGTTTTTCCTGACTCATAACCTGCCTTTACTGATTTATTTGCACCAGTATAAAACGTAGGGGCTCCAAAGTGGGAAGGATCCAGTCAGTTGTTTATAAAAACTGAAGTCTCTTGCTTTGGGGATATTTGTTGCTAATCTCTCCCAAGAAGTTTCTGTAAACTCTATTTCAACATTCACTTTCTGTCCGTAATGAGTCAGTTGCAGCATTCATAAACAGTGCCACAATTTCAACTGTTCCTGCTTACGGGCAAGGTCTCGTTTTTCCTTTCAGAGTCAATTCAGAGAACTTTTCTACATAGATTTTTAGTATCTTACCCTGTTTATCCATTCTAAGATATTGTCCTGTCTCTGCATAATTCCAGTGGGAGAACGCACAGAAGGTGGTGTAGCTACAATACAGTCAAGCATGGATCCAAGTCATCCTCTGGAATTTATTTTCTACCAGATCCAATTCTTTCTCAGCCTTAGCTAATAATTTTCTTGGATTATTTAAGTCCTTATCACCTTGCAAGATTTGAAACAAATTATTTACTTCTTGAGTAGTTAATTCGATGTGGGTCAGAGCCAGTTAATATCTGCCAACAATTTTTGAAAATCATAATTGATCACTCCTGATTTGTACTTTCTGTAAACCTATCCCAGGAAATTAATAAAATTTCCTCTTTGTATTGTTTCAGGAGCAATTTGTAATTCTCCAGAAGGCAAAATTCTCTTAACTTCATCAAACATTTTCCTAAGCCATCTGCATCTGAATTAGCTAGTAAGATATTATCCATATAATGGTAAATTATAGTTTAAGGAGACTTTATTAATTATTTCTGATAACTGTTCTACAAAATATTGACACAAGGTGGGGCTGGCTATTATTCCTTGTGGGAAAACTTTCCAATGGTACATTTTAACAGGTTTGGAATTATTAAAAGTAGGCAGTGTGACTCTTTTGTTCAAACTATGCCTAGTGTGGCACACAGTCTCTCTCTGATAAAGATATAGAACTCTCAGCTCATTCTCCAGCACCATGTCTGCCTGCACACTCCCATGTTTCCTGCCATGATGATAACGGTCGAGACCTTTGAAACTGTAAATGGATAAAGCTGGAAAAGATTATTTTGAGCGAGGTAACTCAAACCCAGAAAGATAAATGGTACAAGTCCTCTTTCATCTCGAGCTCCTAGTGTCAGACCATCAGATGATAACAAAGAAGCTCTGCCCCTGAAATCTCTTCAACATAGCTCAACAAACACGGTAAACGTGATCGGAATAAGGGTTACACCAATACACAGGCTAATATAGATAGAGGAATACTCATGAACACCTTGCATATAAGGCCCCTTTTTAGATGATCTTGGTTTTCTTTCTTTTTTTGTTTTTTGTTTTGTTTTGTTTTTTGAGACAGGGTTTCTCTGTAGCTTTGGAGCCTGTCCTGGAACTAGCTCCTGTAGACCAGGCTGGTCTCAAACTCACAGCGATCCGCCTGCCTCTGCCTCCTGAGTACTGGGATTAAAGGTGTGCGCCACCACCACCTGGCTTCAAATCTGCTGACTTTTCAATTTGTCTACATCAGTGGTGGCTACAACAAAGATGACAGATGGCATGGGGGACAGGCACAGGCATGGCAGGGTGTCCAGACAGTCAGACTGGCAAGGTGGGCACTGGGCGCACAAACAGCAGGGTTGTAGCTGGATACAAGGAGATGGCAGGCCCAGGGCTGTCTGAAGGACAGAACAGAAGAGTGTCCTGCGCATATGGGTTGAGGATTAGCAGCAGCTGAAGCTCTAGAGGGCATTGTAGCATGAATGGGTGTCTTACAGTGTGTGTGTGTGTGTGTGTGTGTGTGTGTGATCGCGCGCACATGTCAGCCTGGTAAGCTCACACAGGGGGACTGTGTTGGGGGAAGCCCACAACCTGTGGTTAGGGTTTGGGAGGGGCAGTAGCAAGAGAAGTTGCCCAAAGCGTGGCTGGCTGCAGGGGCAGGGAGAAGCGGCAGCTTCAGAAGCTGCCATGTGATCTCGTGTCATGCATTGGAACCAAGATATTGTGTTTTTCTAAGTTGTTCTATTACCAATAAAGACTCGGAAGTCAGATATTGGGGTGAAAACCTGGTAGATCAAAGAAGCAGTGGAGGAACGACCAACTGACCTTCTCACTACACTTCCCAGATCAAGAGACCGAAATATCTCTAAGTACCTCCATGTTCCTTCCTGTGTATCCTCTCTATTCATATTCCTGGCTTCTCTATGGCTAATTCCAGTCAGCTGGCTCCACATTCTGATTCAAGGTCAATTTTATTAACAAAGCACTGCTTTCACAAACCAGGATCCCTGTCTAAACCCATCACTGTGTCTTGCATGTCTTGTTCAAGGATATCCGTGCAGAGCGTGTGCACATCTGTGTTCATGGCAGCCACAGTCACAGCAGCCCAAGAAAAGAACAACGCGTTCACCAGGGTGAATACAGAAGAAGATGTGGCTCCCTGAAGACGGATCATTACTTGGTTAGGAAAGAGACAGCTACCGTAGCAATGTGGAGAGTCGCCAGGACGCCAAGCACACTGAAGGGCACACAAGGTCACATGCTGTATGGCAGCGTCTGTCATCTGTGAGCGATATGTCCTACAAAAACCCAGTAGAGGCCAACTGGGGCTTCAGGGACTGGGGGAGCTTGGGGGGTGGGGGACAGGGGATGTTTGTAACTGGAGAGCTGGGCATGTGCCCTTGTGACAGGACTCAGTGGTACTTGAGATGGTTACTTGTGTGTTACTTAAGGGTCCTTAAAATTGCTACTTTTCCCAGATAACTTCCAAGTAACTTAGGCTGGCTTTGAACTTGCAACAGCAGAGCATGGCCTTCATCCTTCCGTCCTTCCAGCTCTACCTTCCACTGAGAGTACAGGCTTCCCCTGCCAGGCCTGGCTTAAAATGGCTGCTTTCGTGATTAGTGGGTTTTATCTCAATTGAAGACAAATTTCTACTCTTTTTAAAACAAAGATGGAAACGGAAAAACAAATGCTGGATACATTGTAAATTTGTTTTTTTTAAATTAAATACAAATTATAGAGAAAAGGCAGCTTACAAACAAAGACTTTAAAACAAGCATACAAGAATGGTCACCTGGTGGTAACCAGCCATGGCTCTTCTTCACGGTCACACAATATTCCTGGTGTGAACAGACAAGCATGGAGCCAACCCTTTCTCCCAGATGATGAGTGGCAAATTTTCACTCAGGCCCTATGCCTTGCCCAAGCCCTGTCTTTTCCCTCCCTTTCCAAATGAGAAAAGGGAATGACACAACTCGAACCCAGGCCCGGCCTCACTGCCTGTGAGTACACAGCACACAGCAGCAGAAGGCCTGATCTCCTGATGGAGACAGCCGAGAACTAAGGTGACTCAGACAGGGTGGCTCCCAGATGCCCAGGTGCTGGCAGATGTCCTGGCTGTGGGAGAGACATGGGTGGGCGACAGGGAGCAGGCTGGAAGGAGGGTGGGGGTTTAAACAGGGCTGTTTGGAAGGCCTTGTTGAGAAGAGCAACCAAAGGAATGGGGGTGGGTGGTGGGGGTGGGAGGTGGAGGGGAGGCCTGTGGCTTTAATCCACAGGGGGAACAGTGCTCCAGAGGGAACAGCATTTGCAAAACCCTGGAGGCAAGAGCTGCAGGTGCTGGGTGTGTGTGTAAGTGGGGGAGGGGGGTTAGGATGCAATGAGGAACTGGGAGTGCCTGGGGGTGAGGTGAGGGAGGCAGGACAAGTCACCTAGAGCTGCGCTGTGGCTCGGGTACCATGGCCTTTTCTTGGAAAGTTCTGGAGTGAGGTGGGGCAGAGTGAAATAGGGATTCCCTGTGCCTGGGAGGGCACAGATTGCCATGCCCACATCATGAGTCCCCACCCCCATCCCGAGACCACCGGAGTCTGAGAGTATACACACAAAAGCAAAGAGCCATTACGCAACCCTGAACTTGGGCTCTTGGTTCATTCAGCGGTTGGATCAGGGAGAGCACTGAGCTCAGCTATGGCAGGGTTTTTAAGGAATAAAGGATGGGGGCGGGAGTGGGGTAGGGGAATTCCAGATTCAGATGGGGGTTGAACTCTTGGTTGGACAGGAGCGAGGTAACAGAAGTCAAACAGGGTTTGGTACTGGTGTTGCTGCAAGGAACTTGGCAACTTATATACAAGTTAGGTAAGCTATTATTAATGTTCTGGAGCAGCTAGTATGTGTTTGTCTCAATCCTGATTGGTTCCCCGCAGGGTACAGTCTGTGGTGTTTCCTGGTTATTGTAAGGGTGAGGCCTAGTCCCAGTATTGTTAGTCTGCAGCCTGTCATGGATACACTGATGTTTTCAGTTAGGCCTCTTCACAGGTGAAAGGGTCAGTGCTGGGGGAGGAGGGAGGCCAGAGACAGGGTCAATATTGGCTCCAGGCTTGGCAGAGAGAGGGACTGCTGTGGGGTGAAGGGAAAAGGATTGCCCACCTGCCCAGCACCCTGAATTTGAGATTAGCGGGGCTTTCCCCCTTGAGGAAGGCAGTAAGAGAAAGTTCCCTGAGAGGAAATGCACTCTGCTGACTCATGGCCCAGGCCAGCCACTTCCCTTCCAGGAGCCCCCAGTCAGAACTTTGCTGGGATTTGGAGGAAGTGAGAGAGCAGTGACCACCACGCCATGACAGAAAGAGGCTCACAGCGAGGGGTGGGATGTCAGGCCTGGAGTGGAGATCCGGAGGGCCTCCTGGAGGAGGTGGGAGATGTCAGGCCTAGAGTGGGGATTCGGAGGCCTCCTGGAGGAGGTGGCCTTTGAGCCAGATGGGAAGAAGACATGTGGATGGTTAACTTGGCTGCAGGTCGAGGGAAGAACGTCCCTGCCCAGGAAGAGAATGTGCAAAGTGTGTGTGAGCAAAGGCAACCAAACATATTCATGATTGCCCAGGAGGCCTGGCTGGTAGACGGCAGGCTGTGTGTGGCACCCAGCGCCGTCTGTGTCTTAGCCAAGCCAGGAAACGCTCCCACCAAGTCCTGAACAGGGTTTGCGGCCAGCTAGGGAGGCTTGGGGGGGGGTCCCCTGATGAGGCCCCCATGAAATCTGAGCCTCGCTACTCCTATGAAATAAGTTGATTTGGAACAGAAATCACAAGAGACCCCAAAGCTGTTCCGCTGTTGAGACGAGAGGATCAGAACTGGAAAGCTGTGGAAGGTTCCAGAGAGCTGTGTGATAAGCTTAGCTCCTGCTCCTTGGGGACTGCAGGGCCAGTACGTGTAGGCTTTGTCACCATCCCATGGGTGCCATGGGGTCATGGAGGCTGGAGAGGTGGGGAGGGCTCTCAGTGGCAGGAGCCTGAGAGGAGAGAGGAGAGATTCAGGAGTTCCAGCAGGAGAGACAGAGGCACAGAGATGAGAAACAGGAAGAAGAGAGAAGGGAGTGAAAGACAAAAATCCAAACACCAGAGAAGACAAGAGTGAGATGGAGCATGACACAGAGACAGAGACACAGGACCCCCATGTGGGGAGGTGCCGTCAACCTGTCTCCACTGCTCCTGCTGGCACCCTGAACGCTCTAGAGAGGTCCCAGGCTCTCCTTGCCAAGCACACATTGGGCACCTGATGCATGCTGCATACCAATGTTTTCCTGTGTGTAGGGGATCGTGCTCCGGAGGCAGGTAGAGCTTCAGAGGGCAGGGATAGTGGTCCAGTGAGTGACAGCTCCTGGTTGTGCATCTGTGTGTGTGTGTGTGTGTGTGTGTGTGTGTGTGTGAGTGTGTGTGTGTGTGTGTGTGTGTGTGTAAGTCTGACAGGTGTAGCAAGGGTTCCAGCCCAGGAAAGAGGAGCAGAAAGCTGGGGGGCAGGGGTTGGGATAAGACCAAACCTGGAGCCCAGCCCCTACAGACTGTCCATCTCCAAAGAGGCTGGATCCAGGGTCAAGTGACTGCCACTCTCCTGGGACTGAGTGGTTCTCTGGGGCAGGGAGATTCAGGACAGGGAAGGACAGTGTGGCTTCTAGAGGATTCTGTGACTGTAGTGTGGGAAAAGGCTAGGGCCCAGGTGGAAGTGAGGGCCCCACAGTGAGTTGGCATTTAGTAGTAGGGAGGTGTGCAGACTCTCAGGAGACCATAAGGCTGTTTCTAGGACTCCTGTTGAGCCCCCCTCCCCAGCCTCTCACTCTGAAGAAGTGCACCCACAACTTTCCTCAGCAGCCCCAAGAAACAGCCCCACCCTGCAGGGTTGGCATCAAAAGGAGGCAAGCAGTGGAAGGGATAGGAATGTCTCCCTCCCGACACACTCACTTTCCAGAAACTCCCAGAATTCTGGGAGAGGGAGGCACCTCATGAGAAAAAGGCCTATTACCTCTTTAGGAAACAAGACCCATGCAAGAGCAAGTCAGGAAACAGCCGAACAGCAAACAGGGCTCTGGAGCTTCCAGATACTTCTGTGTTTAGGAACTGCCAATTGTGTTTGAATTACAGATTAAAAGATAAATAAGAGAGAAAGGAAGGAAGGAAGGAAGGAGAAGGAAAGGGAAGGAGGGAGGGAGGGAGGAAGGAAGGAAGGGAAGGGACGAAGGAAGGGAGGGAGGGAGGGAAGGAGAAAGGAAGAAAAAAGAGAAGAGGGAGGGAGAAAGGAGGGGGAAGCGGAGAGGTGTTCTAACATTATGGAAATAAGGAACTCACTCCCTCCAGTCACTGACCTGCTCACTGTCCCCAAACACGCCAAGTTTTTCCACCTCAGCCTTCCCACCCCCCACCTTCTCTATGTAGTCATGGGATCATTTTGAAGAGATCAGTATTTGCTGCTGACTTTTATTGTGTTGGAGGAGGCCACTTGTTGGTTCCTGGCTGCTCAGCCCCAAAATAATCACACAGAAACTATATTATTTAAATCACTGGTTGGCCCATTAGCTTTAGCTTCTTATTGGCTAACTCTTACATCTTAGTTTAACCCATCTCCACTAATCTGTGCATCACCACGAGGTTGTGGCCTACCAGCAAAGTTTCAGCATGTCTGTCTCCAGTGGCTCCATGGCTTCTTTCTAACTCCTCCTTCTTTCTCCCAGCATTCAATTTAGTTTTCCCTGCCTAGCTCTGTTCTACCTACCCTATCAGGCCAAGCCAGTTTCTTTATTCATTAACCAATAAAAGCAACACATAGACAGAAGTACTTCCCACACCATTATTTTGACTATAGAAACAACCACCTCAGCTGAGTCCCAGGGAAAGTCTCTGCTGCATATGTAATTCTGCATATTTCTCTCTGGTCCTTAGTTAACAACTGTCTTACTCCCTTCTAACTTCCCTGCCTTAATCTGCTGTGTTAGTTACCAGTTCAATTATATACTCTATCAATAGTCCACATGCCCTTTAACTGATTTCCAAGGAATTCTCCCATCCACCATTCTGGGATCTCCCCACACTATCATCTAGGGTCCTGTCAACTTCTCTACAGTGCTGGATTTTGTTGCAGAATATTACTTTAACTGGGTAAAGGTGTGTTACATTTGTTTATGGTACATTTGTTTAATTATGTGTTGCATTTGTTTCACCTTGCCTGCCTAAGGCACCTGACTGGTCTAATAAAAAGCTGAATGGTCAATAGCTGGGCAAAAGAAGGATAGCTGGGCAGACAGGCAGAGAGAAGTAGGAGTAGGAGACCTCTAGGCTGA